TTTTTTTTTGTGGACGAAACCGTTTTTTTTATAACGTAACAAAAATAATAGTAGGTGTGCCGTATGCTCACACGTCGGGGTGAATTTTTTTCGACGTGACGGTTGTTCGGATACATAACATTATTATAATATTCGCAATAAAAACGGGCTTATAGCTCGCCCACGCATAGGCGTATGGGTATTATTGTTATTTTATGTTTTTTTTTTTTTTTTTTTTTTTCCCCAGTTTTTGTTTTCACACCCTCCCTCCCGACGTCGCGTCGCCGTGATAATATAATATTTCCGCAAATACAAAATATCAATCGATAATAATAATAATAATAATAATAGTAATAATAGTAATAATAGTAATAATAATTTAATAATATTTATACAGGTATTTTTCTAAAAATCAGTCGGTAAAACAATGTTTATCATTATTTCATATAGGTACTGAAAATAATCGTTATACATTATAATAATCCTCCGTAACGCGATAATAATAATAACAATAACAATATTGTTATTATATTACCGTACGGACGCGTCGGCGGAGTTTGCAATAATATGCGTACACGTACCATAGACAAAAAAAAAAAAAAACGCGTGGCAATATTATTATTTCGACGTCGCGGTTATTCTGAGATCGTACGATATTACTGTTTTTTACTGCAACGCCGTCAATACCGTATGGAATATTTACGTTTGCGTTTGTGCGCGAAACGATTTCTCCTTTCCCCCCCCCTCCGTCCAGCGATTTTCGCCGTACGCGTTTTCTCGCGCGACAAAAAAAAAAAATAATAAAAATAATACCGTACATCGTCGCGACGACGACAATATTATCGTATCGCACCGCCGCGAACACGCGATGATTATTACGGACGACATTTCGCTATTCGCCGTATGAGAACACGTTATTATTGCACGTCTAAAACCAAAACGCATGCACTTTTAATAGTCCGCGATCATAACGATAATCGATCGATATTAAAATATAATATTTTGTTTTTTTTTGTCTATATAAATATATATATATATATATATATTATTACGCGTACGAGTAGAGCCCGTCGAACGTAATAAACACGCGTAGAAAAAAAAAAAAAAATCAAAAATTCCGACATCTACACAATAATAATAAATATCATCAATGTATCAGCTATGTTGTATATACAAGACGAGCAATCTTTTCGCTATATGATATTTTCGTTTACAATGTTTTTTTTTTTTTTTGCCCGAAAAAACGTCATTACATTTACAGATAATTAATATACACGTTAAGTACGTACGCTACAATGTTCGTTCGGCCTATCGTATTTTCGCTCGTTTAACAGTCCGCCGCGGTCGTCGTCGGGTTCTTTTCGTCGGTTTATTGTTTTGCTGTTGCTGTTGTTGTTGTTGTTGTTTTATGTCGCCGTGCTGAACAATACGGAATTGTTGAAAAACTTGGCCCGGTTGTCTGCGAACAGCGTGAAAAAAAAAAAAAAAAACGAACAAACTTATTATTACATTCGACTACGAGGGTCCGTCGAGTCCGCTACACGGTAACAGTAACAATAATATTGTAATCGCGTTTATTGCGTTACGGGGGCGGTGGAGCCGGGAGAGACGGACATAATATTCACTCCGGGAAATGATTCGGGACCGTCGGAAATTCCGCGATATTACGCGCGCGGACTCGATCGCTGTCGGAAACAGAAGGAAACTCGCGCCGTTCCCCGCCGCGGCCCGTTTTCCCCGGAGCTTTATGATTGATTGTTTTCCGTATCGTATTATATTATGAACGCGATAAAATAATAAAACAGCGCGGCGGCCCGGGGCCGCGCGCAGTCGTCGCCGTCGCCGGTCGTCGGAGAATTGACAGCGCCCCCCCCCTCACACACACACACACACACGCACACGCCCGGCGTTAAACAAACCGGCGGCGTACGGATCCCGCGACTCTCGGTTACCGCGGCGCGAAGCCGACGCCGCCGAAGCCCGTCCGGGAGTCGCGGACGGCGCGGACGGACGGCGACGGGTCCGGCGACGAAACACGCGCGGTCGTACCGGAAGCGGGCGGACGGGACGCGGGAGGAGCGCCGCGTCCCGTTTTGTTGTTTCCGGGTAAACCGAGTGTCACGCGTAAAAAACGAGAGAGCGGCGAACGATTGCGTCCCGTTCGGGACATTCAGCGGCCCGTCGCCGAGCGAAACGTTTGCGCCGTCCGGGGACAAACCAGCGGCACGGGAACCGCGCGGATACCCGGAGAAAACGGAAAAACTGCAACACGTACGCGCGCAACGTTCGGAAAATCATCGTTTTTCCCGCGCGTTTCCGCACGGAAAACCGATGCACAGCGTAACGGTTGCCGACGCCGCGGTTTATCGAGCTAGAACGGCGACTTTTGAACGCGTGCCGCGTTACAGGGGCTTTTCATACCGCCGGCCTTATAATAATAATAATAATAATATCGTTGCGCGGTGTGCACATTAGAAAAACGTACCTGGAACGGGCGACTTGATGTCCCGGTCCGAGTGTTGGCTCTGTTGCTGTTGCTGCTGTTGGACGGACTGCTGTTGTCTGGCTTTTCGTTCCAGGTCGAGTTCTTGCGCGAACGTTTCTGCAAGAGAGCGGGGGAAAAAAAAAAAAAAAAAAAGGGGAAAAATCCCGTTGTAATATATATTTATATATAAATTTGTACACGTTATACAGTGTGTTGTTATTGTTTGTTGTATACGCATTATTATTATTATTGTTGTTATTGTTGTTATTTCCTCGCCCGTTTGCCGCGCGGAGGGCCGCACGCGGCGACGGCGTTTTCGAGAGCTGTTGGCTAATCGAATAGCGGGGCAAATGTCATTGTCGCCGGGGACGACCGCGGAAGGGGGCCGAAAAGTGCCTGCGTATAAAATATACACGGATACGGATATGAGGACGGAGGACGGGGAAAGAGCGACGGCGCCTTCGGGCGTATCGTCTTATGCAAAACGCATCTATGCATTTATAATACGTTTCATAATGCGAATTTGCCGGGAAAACGTTTATATATATATTAGATATTATAATGTACACCGCGCGCATAAATCGCGGCTCTCCGGAGGCTTTTATTTTTTTTTTATTTTTTTTTTTTTATTTCCGCTCCCGCGACGTTCCCATTAACCCGTACGCAATATCGCGCGGCGCCGGGGGTTTATACTCGTATATATTATTATTATTATTGTTACTACGCGCTCCGCGTGTGTGTGATATAATATCGCGCGTGTACGGGCTGTACCCCTACATCCGACTCGCGGCCGAACCGTCGCCGATGGAACCAGGGTTTTTCACGCGGCCGCGCAGTCTTTTGCAACGGGCGTTTTCGTTCGTCGCGGGTCGATACCCAGTCGAACAGCGCGCGTGCCGAACGACGGGAGCCGCGGAAGCGAATCCGATCCCCGGAGACGAAACGGTCTTCGCCGTCCGAGAGAAGTGGCGATGTGGCGTTTGTGTCTGTCCGCGGTGCGCGATCCGAAGATTCGTCGGAAAATTTCCCGTTCAAATTCCCTTTTCCCGCGCTCCCGAACGGTTAGGTAGTTGTTTCGAAACGAAATCTCGAGTCGACAGAAAAAACGAACGGGAGAAAGGAGTGGACACGGCCGGACAGCGGACGCGCGGTAATATTTTCTCGCGCGTCCGACGGACCTAACCTGACCCGACCGGCCCGCCGGTAATAATAAATTGTACCGAATTCGGTGCTGTCCGTGCGATTATCGTCGCCGTTTATCGTTTCGCGACGCGACAATAACGCGACCTTTGCCGCGGTCGCGCGGTGTGCCCGTGCCGCCGTCGCGCGGTAACCCGAGCTTAACGGATTCCCGGCCGCGGGAAGGGTGCGGGGCCGTCCGTCAAATTAGAGAAACCGACAGCCGAAAACGGACGGCCGGAAAATTAATATCGCGGCCGCGGTACGTACACGGCTAA